CAAATCCTATGACCTGCTCTTAGGCAGAAAAAGGCAGGTCAGAGAGCCCTTCCTGCATCTGCTGTTCCTCAAGTAGCTTAGCTCAAAATAATCAGCAAGCCAAAGCAGCGCATCCTAGGTAGGAATCTCCAAGGCTCCTTCATTAAATGTCCCTAAACTCAAAAGTACCCCCCCCCGTTTTCCCCAAGATAGGCTACAACCTCTAATTGGGCAAAATAAAGGTGACACAGGTTATGTAACAAAATAAAGCAGAGCCTGGGTTGTCTGATAAAGATGGCGGATTACCTCAGCTGATATGCACCTCCTCCACCCCTGCCACGGCCACTGGTCATGGAAAAGTCTGGAGACACAAAATTCCTCACTGTCACACTATGTATGGCATTGAGAGGAAAAACAAAGTGGAACGAACCAGACACAGATAAGCCAGAGGAACAACAAGCCCAAATTAAAATGAATCGAAATCTTAGGTAGAAAGTCATCTGACAGGAGAAAAAAACCTACAAAGCCATTTTTACAAACATTTTGGCTTTTTTAGAAATCCAAAGGTGAAAAAAGAACATAAATATGATAAAGAATTTAATTTAACATAACACTAGAAACACGAAAATCTCCTATAAATGCTTTACAGTATAGAACAATGTTTTTAAAATGTGAATTAAATAAAACAAGAGCTCAAGTACCCCATAAAAAATTAAAAAGCATAATCAGCTGAAAGAAAATGAAGACAAAACAACATACTTACAAAACTAATAAATAAATTAAAACCAGGAAGGAACAGAGTAATAATAGCTAAAACTTGACTTACTATGGGACGTAATCTTAGTAAACACAGATTTTAATAAAAAGAAATTAAAGAAAGTGTGACACCACACTGTCACCACAAAATATGACTATAGAAGACAAGAATATGCTACCTCAAAATATGCCATTTTGGAATAAGGATTATTCTGAACAATGGTAAACACAGTAGTGGGTCTAAAAACAGCAATGTTACCCATTTTTAAGGAAAATTTATATCTATAAAAAAAAAATCTCCATTTGTCAGGGAGTCTCCTCTTTGCCCAGGATTACTCCAAATCACCAGAGACTCATAACTAGGGAAGGAACCAGCTCAAATTTGTGCAACAAACCTTTCCCTTGCTTACCAGGCTTTTCCTGGCATCTCCCTGCAACTGCCCTTCTCCACACCCTTCCTTGTTTGTTTCAGTGGGATGGCATTTAAGCTTGCACTGAAAGCTTCCTCTAGAGATTACTCATGTTTCTGGGTGTTTCTCTCACATATACATGAGATATACATGGTAATAGACTTGTTTGTTTTTCTCTTGTTAATCTTTCATCTGTTACAAGGGTCTGTCCCAACTAAGAACTATAAAGGTAGAGGAAAAAATGATTTTTCCTCCCCTGCAGAAGGAAGAAAATAAGCAGTGAGGAGTAAAGATGATACAATGCAATATAGTGACACTGAAATAGAAAGCCCAACAAATTGAAAAGAAAAATATCCAAGAGAATATCCCTGCCATAGTTTGGTCTCCAAGGCTTTACACCTTGGAAGTTTGGTCTCCAGAGTAGCCATGTTAAGAGGTGGTGCCCTGTGGGAGGTCCTGGGCAGCCCTGTCTTCAGCAGAGATTAAGGTAGTTCTCATGGGACTCCTGAGCTCATTCTGGGGAGAAGGTTGTCATAAAAAGAGTGAGTCTTGGGGTTGGGTATAGAGGCACATACCTGTAATCCCAGCATTCAGGAAGGCTGAGGCACTCAGGAAGTGTGAGCCCAGCCTGGGCAACTTAGTAACTTAGCAAGACTCTGTTTCAAAATTTAAAAAAACAAAAAATTATAGGAAGGGTTGGGTGTGAATCTCCTGGGTTCAAACACAAACACACACACACAAGTTTGACTTTTCTTTTCACTCTGGCTTCCTCTCTTGTCATGTGATCTTTCCCTCTCACAAGTTCTCCTCCCACTGAGATGCCATAAGAAATAGAAGAAAAGACAAGAAGTCTTTTCTTCACTAGAGTTGAGCCAATGCACGTGACAACCTCCAAACCTATGAGCTACATAAGCTTTTTCCCTTTATAAAGTTACCCAGCCTCATTTATTTTGTTTTAGCAATGGAAAACTGGCTAATATAATCCATGAAAGAAAGAAAAATACAACTGTACAGAATTAACAAAAACTTTATTTCAGAAAACTTCAGCATGGAACATTGAACACAGAAGCATACCTTGGGCTACCTATCAAAATGCAAAAGTGAAGAAAGAATTCTTCAGACATTCACACAATACCAAATTGTCTTCAGGGAACAGAGTGATCTCAGAGTTGACTGGCAGAAGGCATTGGAACAAAGACTAACAGAGTGTGTTAGTTACTTTTGTCTCGTTGCTGAAACAAAATACCCAACATCCAAAGTTGAAGGGAAAAAAGTTTATTTAGCTTACAGTTCATTGAGGTTTTAGTCCATAATTGGCTGGCTCTGAGGCAATGAAGACAGGGCCAATAGTTCATGGCAGCAGAAAACAGCAAAAGCAAGGAGGCACCTTAACAGTGTCTTTCTGCCCACTTTATCTGATTCACACTACCGGGATTAGGGCGGTGCCAAACCAAACACTCAAGTGTAGTGGTTTAGTGATCACGCACCCTTAATGCCAGCATCCCACACTCTAGATTCACCCACCTATGACCAGTAAGGCTTTGGGGGACATCAAGACCCAAACCATAACACAGAGTGCGACCCAAAGATTTCTTAGCCAAAAAAGTTCTGGAGTATAGGCAAAGTGGACTTATTCCCAAACGTCGAATCAGAAAACACAGCACCCATAACTTCTCCAAGAACAAAAACAAAAAAACTAATGACGATATTGTGGCAATCAAGAGAAGAGTTAAAGTGAAAAATAAAAGAACAGAAGCCTATAAAAAGTTTCTGAGGGGACTGGGGGTATAGATGATGATACAGCGCCTGCTTAGCATGCACAGGGCCCTGCACTGGATCCCCAGCACTTTAAAAAAAGGAAAGATGGGACTTTTAACAAAAGCAAAATCTATTTAAATATAGACAAGATGACTACTTTCTGGAGCGGCTTCCATTCCATCCTTCAGGGACAGAAAGAAATGGTTTACAGATGGGTGTGGTGCTCCTGGACCAGGCCTCAGACTCCAGGGGCTGTGCCCAAGTAACCAGCAGGCCCAGCGAGGGAGAGCGCAGGAGTGGCTGACAGGCTGGGGTCCTTCCGCCACACTCTCTTCAGCTTTCCTAACAATGTCTTCCTCACCCTTGCAGTGTTTTGGCAGCCGTGGGGCCTCTTTTTCTCCTCCCTTTCCACTTGCCTCGTGCTCCCAGCCACTGGGGAGCCCCGCAGCCCTGCAGAGCATCCCGGAATGCAAAGCATTTGCAATGAGTCACAGCTGTCAGGAGCCAGCCGGCTGCTCCACTGGGAGCAGGCAGGGGAGGACTGCGGCACCCACAGCTGCAGAGCTGGGGTCACAGGCCGGATGCAGAGAAGAAGAGCAGCAGCACAGCCCCGCCGGAGCCAAGAGGACAACAAGAGAACAGCCCCAGGGCAACTGCTGCTCTGTGCTTGGCTGTTAACTCTGTTGGCTGGCCAGGCCCTAAACCTTAAAACTTTTCCCAAGAAAAACAACCTTCTGGGTTATAGAGGATTGCAAGTTGGCTTCTGAAAAATAATGCCTGACAGGCTCCTAACCAACAATCGTTAAGGGCTGAGCCCAGAGAACTTTGTAACCCAGTATTTTAAAATGAGTCTGAAAAATGTGCTGGATATTCTCTTTTATGCCAACACAGGGGGCATTCACTGGTGCTCACTATTGGCATTTGCTTGTTCTTTCTCTCTGCCTGAAGGTACACCCTTCTTTTAAGCCCTGGACAGAGACCTTGGGTGCCAAACACGGCCTCTTTCTACTTTTTTGTTGTTGTTGTTGTTAAGAAATTACGAACAAAGGATGCATTCATATTTGTCCCAAATATTATTTAAAAAGCTATAGAATAAGAAGGAAGTATCCATCTCACACTCGGCCACCCCAGCCATTCAGTTCTCCACTCTGCAAGTAAGCACTGTTACTTGTTACTTGTCTATTTTTCCAGAAATATTCTTTGCACATACCAACGAGTCTGTCGTGTGTAAGCTTCTGGTGCATATAGAATGTATCACAAAAATTTCCCCCCTTTGCATTTTTTTAAAATGTTGGCACTAGTTTTGTGTCAGTACAATTAGAACCATTATTTATTTGTTCATTTAAGCTAGATGTTTAAACAGGTCTCTATATCTATACACGTTTTCAGTATTGCCCTATTAAAAACCGTGCTTCCGTAAATATTTTTCAACATGTTAAATTTCTAGAGGTGGGATTGCTATGCCATACTTGATATTTTGATAGATATTTTGTTAAATTGCCTTCCACAGAGGCAATATTCACATGCATGTGTGTCTGTCTTCCTCATTACTTACCCCAGTGAATGCCAACATTTTTATCTTTGCCAGCTGATAGATTTAAAAATGGTGTCTCTCAAGGTACTTTTAATTTGGTTTCTTATTGTAAGACTGGACATCTGGCATTATGTGTTCTCTGAAATGTGCCCATTTTAGGTTGCATTGTTGTCCTGATCTGTTCAACTCTATATACTATAGAAAACAGCTTTCTGTCAATCAATGTATATACTGGAATTCATTTTCCAGTTTTTTTCATACTTTCCATGTTAATTTCATACAAAAGTCTTTCTAGTTTTGTGTTGTTGAATTTACCTTTTCACTCTTGGTGTAGGAACTATCCTTTCAATATACTTTGAGTCTATTGAAGAAACTGACAGTAAAGATAGCAGCAGGAGAAAAGAATCGTAATTGTATCATGTTTGTGAAGCATCACAAGAAAAAAAAATGCCAGTTTCCAACAACCTGAGACTGAGAAGCCTGTACCAGGTGTGATTAAGAAAAAAAACAAGACAAAAAAACCCTACAATTTGTGTTTAAATCTTAAAAATTATTATAGAGGTGGAGCTTGTATATCTGTTTTTCTCTAACTTGTAGGCTAAGCCTTAATAGACAAGTGCAAAAAATAAATCCTCTTTGCAACCTAGAACTCATTGTTCGGTATGAGTTTTTATAATACAAGAAGGAATATTATCGCCAGGCACGGCGACACAGCGACGACAGCCTGGGACCCTGGGACCTCGGAGGCTAAGGCGGGAGGAATGAACCCTGACTATCTATTGAGACTCCACCTCTGCAAGCAGAGCAAAAACAAAACATTATGATTACCTACAGGTGAAAGTGATGGGAGGTGTTAAAATTATTATAGTAAAAGATACACTGCCATTAATCCACTCAAAATACCCACTACTCTGAACACTCATTCTTGCTGTTTCTGGAGCAGGTCTGGAAGTCCTGTTCATGAGCGTCTTTCGTTGTGCTGTCGGTTGTGCTTTGATGTCCGGAATCCAATCAAAACGTTGACCTTTCACGTTCACTTTGACTGGGGAGGGTCCGGACTAGAGGAAGCGTGGACAGCGATGCACAGTAATGTTGTGATGAGACCGCCTTTCCCTCGGACAGCACTCGGCGGCCGCAGTCCCTGTATTTTTTATCAGAACTCATGAAGACATTCATAAAAGAGAACCTCTAGAACTGCTTCCGAAAGTGGCAAGGATGATGGGATGAGTGTGTTTGAAGTAGGGGAAGTATTTGGAGGGGACTAAAGCAGTGTGTCTTTTACTGCACTAAGCTTGTTTAAATGTAAACAGCCACTGTGTATTTCCATCACCTCTAATATGTGCTCTGCATAGGCCAGAGGAGAGAGGGTGTGAGGCAGCGCAGGGAGCAGTGAGTGATTCTGCAGGCAGAAGGAATGGGACCAGAGAACAGGTGACAGCCTGTACTAAGTCCGCCTCGGTGTGATGCTACCCTCAGTCTTCTTTCTTATAACAGGAGTCAACCAAACGCTGGATGACGCGATTCTTTCTGGAGGATCTGATCTCAGGGAAGGTCAGAGAAGTTCAGAAAAAGCCTCTCCCTGAGCTACGAGAGACAAAGAGGGACAAGAGACAGGAGGGCAGAGAGACCTTGGTTGTCCTTCAGCTCAGAGCATTCAGCAATGCCAAAGCACCATGCATTGGGGTATCATTCTCCTCTGTACCCCAACATTGTCATCTAGAAAGTTCGATGTTCAGGTAATCCTGTTATTTTGTTTTGCTTTTGGTTTTTTGCTTGGTTGGTTGGTTGGTTTTTTTGAGACAGGGTCTCGCTACGTAGTTGAGACTGACCTGGAACTCACTATGTAACCCAGGCTGGTCTTGAACTCACAGCAATCCTCCTGCCTCAGCCCTCAGCCTATTTTTGAGACAGGGTCTCGCTACGTAGTTGAGACTGACCTGGAACTCACTATGTAACCCAGGCTGGTCTTGAACTCACAGCAATCCTCCTGCCTCAGCCTCTCCTGAGTGCTGGGATTATAGGCACGCACCACCACACCCAGCTCAGGTAATCCTGTTTTTGTTGTTATTTTGTGACACCAGGGATGGAGCCCAAAACCTCAGGCATGCTAGGCAAGTACTCACTACTGAGCTACATCCCTGGAGCCTTTTCATTTTATGTTGAGCCAGGGCCTCACTGTGTAGCCCTGGCCAGCCTCAAATTCTCTGTCCTCCTCTCTCAGTCTGAGTAGCTAGGATTACAGGCATACATCACCACACCTGGCTCTCCCTCAGCAATTTCCACTAGAACATTAATTATCTTGTGTTCGGCATTGAAAGCTGTGATCCAGCCAGAATTTAATGTAGTGGCCGGATGAACGGGGCCCCATCAATATCTTTTTCTAGCTGCCTGGATCTTCTGCTTCAGGGTCTTCCACAAACCCGCAATTAAAGTGTAGCCAAAGCCCGGGCTCGTCACAGGATCAGCCGGAGAAGGATTTGCTTTCAAGCCCACACGGCTATTGACAGCAATCCGTTCCCTGTGGGTTGTCAGACTGAGGGCTTCTGCTCCCTGCTGGAGGTCACTCAGAGGCCACCCAGCTCCTTGCCACATAAGCCTCTCCATGCGGCAGCTCACTTCATCAAAGCCACCAAGAAGTGAATCAATAGAGCCTGTGGGCAAGATGCAAATTACAGCCTTCTCTAATGAAATCCCAGGAGCAGTGTTTAGTGACCGTACCACACCCTACTGGATGACAGCGAGTCACAGGTACCAACTGCATTCGAGGCAAGGGGCTCTGGGAGGATGAGAATACAAGCAGGTGAGCGTCACCTGGGACCATCTTGGACTCTGCCATGGTCCACACTCAGGCCCCCAAGGTTCACGTTCCTCCCCCAGGCAAAACACACCTAGCCCCTCTCAAGCTCTCCCGATATGTCATTGTGCACACCATCCCTGGAAAGTCTGGGATTGCATCCTCTAATTCAGGCCCAGATATGGATACGGATCATTGGATGTAACTCATTAAGTCCAGCTCCTGGAGCACAATGGAGCACAATTCCTCTTCCCTGGGGCCCTGTGAAACTCACAAGACAAATTATCTGCCTCCAGTGGGAACACAGGGAAAGGATAGCATCCAAGATGTTCTCGAGCCGAAAGGGAGAAAACAGGAGGGAAAGGAATCACTGCACTCAAGCAACTCACAGATTTAGTTTTGTTCAAAATTTCCATACCCCAACAGCAATAGTATTCTATTTTGTCCATTTGTTTTCTCTTGCTCCTTTATTTTTATACACATACAGTTCCTTTGTTACTACTTTTTAAAATCTTCATTACCATCATCATCACTGTGCTTACGAAGCTCCAGTCTCTTTTCTAAGGGCTTCACATACATAAACTTAACACTCACAACAACACCGTGAGGGTAGATACTATTATTAAAATTCCTTATTGTACATAAGAGCAAAATGAAGACAAAGACATTAAATAATGCTCTAAAAGCATAGAGCAGGTATTCCCAAAAGAACAAATTGTAGGAAGTTTAAGGGAAGAAGACATGGCAAGGAACTTTTGTGTGTGTGTGTGTGTGTGTGTGTCTGTCTGTCTGTCTGTCTGTCTGTCTGTCTAAGCCTTTTTCTGTTGCCCAGTCAGCAGTGATCAGCTACTATGAGACTATTCACAATTCACAGTGTTTTTCCTTCTCTTTGCCTCACGGACAGACTGCTCCCTATGTACACAACAACAGTATGTGTTTTGTCATATAACCCCACCTCCCTGGCCTCCTCAGTTCCCCCAGAAACTCCTGCATCCAGCCTAAACGTCCTGTTTCTGTCATTTTTAACCAAGATGTATTAGTCAGCATTTCATTGTTGTGACAAAATACCTTAGAAAATTGCCTTAAGGAAAAAAAAGATTATTTTGGTTCACAGATTCAGAGGCTGTGGTCTGTGGTGGCTCCATTGTTTTGGGCCTGTGGTGAGGCAGAACATCATGGTGGGGAGCTGGTGGTAAAGCAAAGCTATTCACTTCATGATGACCAGAAGGAGGGCAAAGAAGGGACTAGGGACAAGTATACTCTTCAAGGACAACTTCTCAGGATCTCTACTTCCAACTACACCCCATCTCCTAAGGCTTCCATCACCTCTCAAGGCCCTTAGCTTATTAATCCATGAAAGTATTAATCCATTGAAGAGACAAGAGCCTCAAGATCCAGACACCTCCCAAAGGTCTTACCTCTGATCACTGCATTGGGGCCTTCAGCACAGAAGCTTTTAGGGATCGATTAAGATCCCAGACACAGCATGGGAGTATTGAGTGTCCTCTTCATGACATTCCACATTGGCAAACAGAGCTGAGATCCACACCGCAGGCATCATGACTGTTGTCCTCACAGCCTCATTACTGTCACTGCCTCTGGCAGCCCTTGCTCGTTATTGTATATCTGGGTTTGTAATTGTCACTTTCAGTTGCCAATAAGTACCTATTCCCCTTTCCCTCTTTCTTAACAGGACCCCAACTTTGTTGAAGCATCTAATACTCCCCCAGGCAACCCAGGAGATCTAGGAGAAGAAGGTTCTGTCTCTTACTTCCAAAGAATGGACCCTGTTTGGCCTCGGTAAATGTTAGCAATCCTCCCCCCACCCCAATTTTGTCAGTTGTGGTTGATAACCAAACTGCACATGGCATTTGCACTGGTGAATTACTGGTCCAGGGTTTGGCATGTGAACGGAACTGAGGGGGCCTACAGCACTTCTACTTGTTCTCCCACCTGCAAACAAAATGTCATGTCACCAGAATTCCAAAGGGGAGTCATACTAGGAATACAAGGGGAACTAGTCTTCCCAGAAGGCTAAGGGAAGAGGGTCAGAAAAAAATCTGGGTGATGATATCGTCAAGGCAGCCATATCTTTAGTCTTCTTCGTATGTGAGTTAATACAGTGCCTTATTTTAAAGCCATTCTGAGTCAGAGTTTCTGTTTCCTGCAACCAAAATATCCTACTTAGCACAAAATCAAAGATGTTGAATAGTTTGGTAGAAGATTGATTATAATTACTTTGTATGAGCACATTCAGAACAACTAACTAGCAGTTCTAATTACCATTACAAATTCTTTTAGTTCATCCAGGATTTAAAATTGTCAAAAAAATATGATTAGCTCCCAAATACAAAGCAACAGCCTCATTCAAGGAAGCTCAGCCTTGTAGTATTAATTGTACATAGAAGCAGAGAGTTGCTCATAAAAGTCACACTTTCACAACCCTCCTTAATCTCACTTCCTGTCCTTTCTTTTCTTCAGGTACTGAATGTTGAAATCAGGACCTTCACATTAAACTACATCCTCAGCCTCTTTCTTTCTTTTTGAGGTAGGGTCACTATGTTCAAGCTGGGCTTGAACTTGCAATCCTCCTGCCTCAGCTTTCCAGAGTGCTAGAATTACAGGCATGTGCCACCACGCCCAGCTTGTCCTATTTATTTCTTTGCCTCTCTGTCATTCACCACTGGGGTGTGTGAGGTCCTCCAGGACAGAGATTGAGTGGTGCTTGCCACTTAGGAAATAAACAACTGATTACCAGACATGAAATGCCCAAAAATCACTTTCTTCCAAGTTGCACCGTGATTCCAAAGGCCCTTAGGATACCTTTGAAATCAGAGTAGCATTCTCAGTGCATAAACAAAAGGGTGGATGGAGTCACCTGCCTCGCAAGCACAAGGT